TTCTTCTTCTTCTTCTTCTTCTTCTTCTCCGTCGTCGCCTTCTTCTTCTTCTTCTTCTTCTTCTTCTTCTTCTTCTTCTTCTTCTTCTTCTTCTTTGAATAATGGGCTCCGATATTCGTGGGGAGAAGCACGTGCCGGGAACCAGGCCCAGCGTCCCATATGAAATCTTCTTCTTCTTCTTCTTCTTCTTCTTCTTCTTCTTCTTCTTCTTCTTCTTCTTCTTCACCATCTAGAGTCTAGATAAGAAAAAGAACAGTTCTTCTTTTTGTTTTTCTGTTATTCAGTTAGGATTTTTGGTTCTGTCACAGACTGTCAGTCAAAATTTTGTGATTATTGTATACTGCAGTTTCACAGCATTGTTGTCCCAAGATTCTTGAGCCATTTGTCAATGAGCTTCCACTTTTTTAAACATAAAAGAGCACCAATCATTAACTCAGCAATGATGCAGAATGTTCAAGAGGTTTTCCTATCGTGGAGGACACACTCTGCCATAGTGTGGAGACATACAATTGCTCGCATCCCAATCATCGCCCTTCTAGGTCCTAGTAAGTCTCCTTGAGGTGATGATTGTCTCGCTGCTTTGTTTGGGTAATCGTCGTTTGTGATTTGTTAAATTTCTTACTAATTTTTTTGCCCAGGGGTCCCATTTTTGTCTGTTGCTGGTCTGTCGACCTTTTGGTATATTCCCGCAGATGCACACCAAACTCCTGCTGCAGCAGTGTGTGTGTGTTAAGTTGTTAACCCTGTCAATGAATAAAGGGAAGTGAATTAAGGAGAGCACCTGTCTCTTATACACATCTAGATGTGTATAAGAGACAGCACACACACACACACACACACACACACACACACACTGTGTATGGGTGTGCAGGATGTATTGGGCGAAGAAGATACTGGAGTGGACATCCAGTCCCGAGGAGGCCTTGTCTGTGGCGATCTATCTCAATGACAAGGTATGAGCTGGAGGCATCGCATGTATGCGTGTCAACAACAAACTCATTTTGTGGAGGTGGTTATTCTCACAAACGGAGGACAGAACACTCTTATGATGAACCAGCATTTGCAAGTGGTGCCTCCTCAACAAAACGTGCAATAGCGAATAGTCTTTTCTCTCTATAGACAAGCAGCCTCCATAACCAAGTGCTAGGAGACACGTAGTGCCACTCTGCTCCAGTGTATGATGAACCTAGTCTGCATTGCAGACCAGATACAGGCTGAATTGTACCAGTGTTTGTTCAGCAGGGTGCTCAAGTGTGGGGTCAAGGAACATAACAATGTGAATCCTATGGACAAACAATAATGTCATAACTCTCTCTTTGTTTGCTCTTGAAACCCCATCCCCTTCGTATAGGGGCCATTTTGGAAATTTGAATGGCCTGGGACTGTTGCTGTGAGCCATAACCCTGGCCTTAATCCCCCTGCATCTCTGTGTGTGTATATATATTTAACCTGTTGGTCTCTTTTCCTTTGTTTTCGAAAAGGGGTTCACCCGTACAAGTTTATAAAGGGGTTCACCCATACAAGTTTATAAAGGGGTTCACCCGTACAAGTTTATAAAGGGGTTCACCCGTANAAAGGGGTTCACCCGTACAAGTTTATAAAGGGGTTCACCCATACAAGTTTATAAAGGGGTTCACCCGTACAAGTTTATAAAGGGGTTCACCCGTACCAGTTTATAAAGGGGTTCACCCGTACAAGTTTATAAAGGGGTTCACCCGTACAAGTTTATAAAGGGGTTCACCCGTACAAGTTTATAAAGGCGTTCACCCGTACAAGTTTATAAAGGGGTTCACCCGCACAAGTCTATAAAGGGGTTCACCCGTACAAGTTATAAAGGGGTTCACCTGTACAAGTTGTAAAGGGGTTCACCTGGAGCAGGGTTTGAGCTCATGATCAGTTAATTATCAATGGCTGCATGTGTGTGTACCATTCAGCCATGAGGGAAACAGGGCACAAACCCTAACCACGAGGAAGGTACAGCCTGACCTGCTGATAGCTGGCACCTTGTTAAATCACGACTACCCCGAGCCGCTTTTTGCCGAGGCCGATACCCCCTCTGTGCACCAAGCTTTGCTGAAACATAACGGTGGCGTTTTTTTTTTTTTTTTTTGGCCTTGCTTTTGGCTGGCACCACCAGCGATTTTGGTCCCGCTGTAGGCTGTAGCACTGTTCATCCGAAGTCTTTGGAATATTAGTATTATATTACATTTTCGATTCTCAGCGTCTTTTTGCCGGGGAAAGGTAGAGTGATGGTTTAAACTTTAAACTTTAAGGTAATGATGATGATAACCTCCATGGCTATCACAATTTCTCACCTACAAATGTTGATGGATGACTTGGTAAGGGTATACCTAAAGAAGGCTTACCCTTTTATGTACCTGGTCTACCTTTCATCCTAATCCTGGTTATGTACCTGGTCTACCTTTCAAGCCTAATCCTGGTTATGTATCTTGGCCTTCATTGGGAAAACACGAGAGGTGTTTCCGTTACTTCTTTTTCGCACCAGCTTCAACGGTGTAGTAAAGACGTTTCCTCGACTTCGGTAGGAAAGCAGGCGCAGGGCGTCGCCGCACGGCGCACGAATCGAGTGCATCTTCGTGCAGAAAATGGCCAGGTTCATCAGTTTGCTATAGATAGTGACGAGCGTATTTTGCCACCTTTTGTGGGCAGATGCACTCGTTTCGTTTTCGTGTCGTGTGCCGTGTGGCCAGGCCTACAGCCTCTCGCAGTCGCGTCGTATGGGAGTGCTACAAATTGTTTGTCATTATCCTGGGCTTATTAAAACAGTGAGGGAAAACTTCTTGTCAATCATGTTGTCGTCAGACCTCCGACGCATGGACAAAGGAGCGGGCTGATTCCCTGCTCCCTGACTTTATTTTGGTTGGTAGCATCTGTTATTTGAACACCTGCATGTTTTTGGTCTTGTGTGGTTGTTGCAGTATGAGCTGGATGGGCGCGATCCCAATGGATATGTTGGCTGCATGTGGTCAATTGCTGGGATCCATGATCAGGTATTCCTCTTCCTTCTCCTCCTCCTGCTGCTGCTGCTAGTCTGCTGCTATGGCTGCCTCTTCACCTTTCCCTTCTTCCTTTTACTCTTCTCCTCCTTCGCCTCTGTCTCCCATTGCTGCTGCCATGGCTGCCTCTTCTTCACTTTCCCCCCCCTTCCTCTTACTCTTCCCTCTCCTCCACCTCCTCCTCCTCCTCCTGCTCCTCCTCCTCCTGCTCCTCCTCCTCCT